GTGACCTCACCACGCCCCCATTCCATTCGCCTATTTGCCTTGTGCAGAAGACAGAGGAATCTTGAAGAATGACAGTGGGTTATGATATGTTTCAACCAGGTGGTGAGTCCAATGCAGCTGCTGTTCCAGATGTGGTTTCATTGCTTGAGCATCCCTTGGTACAGGGTATGCTGCCGTTGACCTGGCATATGCCTTTTTCTCCATCCCTGTTCGTAAGGCCCACGAAAGGAGTTGCTTTCAGCTGGCAAGGTCAGCAGTGACCTACCACAGGGGTATATCAACTCTCCAACCCTATATCATAACTTAGTTCTCGAAGACCCCGATCACCTTTCCCTTCCATCAGATATCACACTGGCCCATTATATTGAGGACCTTATGCTGCCTGGACCTAGTGAACAAGGAGTAGCAACTACTCTAGACTTATTGGTAAGACCTTGTGTGTCAGAAGGTGGAAAACAAAATTCAGGGGCTTCCTACCCTAATGATTTCTAGGGGTGCAGTGGTGTGGGGCAATATCAAGATATCCCTTCTGAGGTGAAGGATGAGTTATCGCATCTGACCCTGCCGACACCCAAAAAGGAAACACAATGCCTAGTGAACCCCTTTGGATTTTGGAGGCAACATAGTCCTCGTTTGAGTGTGTTACCCCAGCCCATTTAACAAGTGACCCGAAAAACTGCTGTTGAATGGGGGCCAGAACAAGAGAAGGCTCTGCAACAGGCCCAGGCTGCTGGTTGGGCTGCTCTGCCACTTGGGCCATAGGAACCAGCAGGTCCAATGGTGCTTGAGGTGTCAGTGGCAGATAGGGATGCTGTTCAGAGCCTTGGCAGCCCTGATAGGTGAACCGCAGCATAGGCCCCTAGAATTGTGGAGCAAAAGCCTGCCATCTTCTGCAGATAACTACACCCCTTTTGAGAAACAGCTACTGGTCTGCTACTGGGCTTTAATAGACTAAAACACTTCACTATGGTCCCCAAGTTTCATACAGCCTGAGATACCCATCATACATAATACATTATGCATGAAGCCATAAAGTTAGGAGTGCACAGCAACAGTCCATCCTCAAATGGAAGTGGTATACAGGAGACTGGGCCGGAGCAGGCCCTGAAGGCACAAGTCAGTTTCATAAAGAAGTAGCCCAAATGTCCATGGTCCCCACTCCTGCTACACTGCCTTCTCTGTGCCAGCCTCATGGGGAATTCCCTGTGATAAGATGACAGAGAATGAGAAGACTCAGGCCAAGTTTACCGACGGTCCTGCATGATAACGCAGGTGCCACCGGAGTGGACAGCTGTAGCACTGCATCCCCTTTCTGAAACATCCCTGAAGAGCAGTGGTGAAGGGAAATCTCCAGGGAGCAGAGCTTTGAGCAGTGCACCTGTGTGTTCACTGAGCACTGGAGAAATGACCAGATGTGTGCTTTTATACCAATTAAAGACCAACGTGTGCTTTTATACCACTTAAAACCAGCAGTTTGACTAGATGGTCAGGGGCTCGGAAGGAACATGATTGAAAAATTGGTGACAAGGAAGCCTGGTTGACAACAATACTTGGAAGAGGTATGTGGATAGACCTCTCTGAACGGGGAAAAAATATGAAGATATCTGTGTCCCATGTGAATTCTCACCAAAGGGTGACCTCAGCAGAGGAGGATTTTAATAATCAAGTGGATAGGCTGATCTGTTCTGTGGATACCTGTCAGCCTCTTTCTCCAGTCAACCCCACTGCCACCCAGTGGGCTCATAAATAAAATGGCCATGGTGGCAGGGATGGAGGATACACATGGACTTCGACTCACCAAGGCTGACCTGGCGTTGGCCACTGCTGAGTGCTCACTCTGCCAGCAGCGGAAACCAACACTGAATGCCCGATACGGCATCAATCCCCAGGTGATCAGCCTGCCACCCGGTGGCAGACCGACTACACTGGCTACTGCCATTATGGAAAGGGCAGAGTTTCACTCTAACTAGAATAGACACTTACATTCCACACAGCATTGCTTCTGATCAAGGAACTCAATTCACAGCAAGTGAAGTGCATGAATGGGACCATGCTTCTGAAATTCACTGGTCTTACCATGTTCCGCACCAGGTGGAATTATGACTTGTTACCGTCTCTGTCTGGAGATTAAGTATGGTGTAAGGCAGGGGTGGGGAATGTAGCCCACGGACCATACAAGGCTCTCGAAATCATTTGGTGTGGCCCTGCCAAGGCATTATGGGTGAGTTAATTAAATCCTTGACCAAATATAGCAGGCTAATTTTTAAGTTGGTAATTTTGTAGGGATCTCAACTTATATTATAAATATCCAAATGGCCCTTGGTAGAAAAAAGATTCCTTAACCCTGGAAGGAGATGCATATGGCTGCCAAGCCGACAAGGAGTGAATCGGCAATGATTAATTTTTAAGTGTCACATGACTGGGCCACAGGTTGCCCAGATTAAACATTATTTCTGGGTGTGTCTGTGAGGGTGTTTCTTCCTGAGATTAGCATTTGAATCCCCTCCTAAATGTAGGTGGGCACCATCCAATCACTTTAGGGCCTGAATAGAAAAGAGGAAAAAAGAGCTTTACTTGGGACACTGGTCTTGTGACTTCAGAACCACTGGTTTTCCTGGTTCCCCAACTTGCAGATGGCAGATCGTGGGACTACTCAGCCTCCGTAACTGTGTGAGCTGATTCCTTATAATAAATCTCCTTTTATATATCTCATTGTTTCTGTTTCTCTGGAGAACCCTATGATAGTCTCTTTATTTTTAGCCATTCCAGTGAGTATACAGTGGCATCTCATTGTGGTTTAGTTGCATTTCCCTAAATCCTTTCATGTGCTTATTTGCCACCCAAAAATCTTTATTGGTTAACTGTCTGTTTCAATTTTTTGCCCATTTTTTTTAAAATGGAGATTTTTCCCCCTTGAGTTTCAAGAGTTTTTATTTGATTTATAATTTTATCCCAGGCTGTGGCTTGTCTTTCCATTCTCTTAACAGTTTCTTTTTAAGACCGAAATTCTGATGAAGTCTACTTTATCAGTGCTTTCTTGTATGGACTGCACTTTTTGTGTTCTATCTAAGAAATCTTTACCTAACCCAAGGTCATAAAGATGTTCCTTTATGTTTTCTTACAGAAATTCTATAGTTTTAGGTTTTACATTTAGGTCAATGATCGTTTTTAGTTTATTTTCCTATATGGTGGAATGTATTTATAGAAGTTCATTTCTTCCCCTCACCCCCACTCCCATGATAGCCAATGGTTCCAGCATCATTTATTGAAAAGACTATCTTTTCTCTACCAAATTGACTTTGCACCTTTGGGGGAAAAATCAGTTGCCTATATCTGTGCGGTTCTATTTCTGGCCTTTCTATTCTATTTCATTGAATATTTGTCTATCTTGATACAAACACCAGTGTCCTCTTAAGTATTATAGCTTAAAAGTCTTGAAATCAACTTTGGACTACTTTTTCAAAGATGATTTAGCTATTCCTAGTTCTCTGCATTTCTATATGAATTTTAGGTCCAGGTTGTCAATGTCCAGCAAAAAATCTACCCTAATAAAAGAGAAAGATGCAAATTGACCATGCCTTCACAACACCAATCAGCCAATCAGGAGTGAGTATGCAAATTAGCCATGGCGATGACGCAGGTGTTCCACACCACCCCAGCCACTCTGGGCCTCTGGGCAGCGTGGGAAGGCAGAAAGGCGGTGCGAAGGTGGTGCCGGCAGCCAGGGGAAGGAAGACCCATTCTTGCACGAATCTTCGTGCATCAGGCCTCTAGTAAATAAATAAAAGAAAAGTCTGCTGTGATTGTGATTGTGGTGAATTTATAGATCAATTGGGAGAGAAACAGCATCTTCACTATACTGAGTAGTTCGCACACTGTGTGCTTCTCGCTACTTCACTGAATGAATACTTCTGCAAAATTTGGAACTTCTCTCTCTGCAGCTTTCTCCTCTCTGACACTCTGCCCTCAAACTCTCACTGCCTTTGTCTTCCTGGACTCTCAGCTCCACCTCAACTCTCCCTGCACTGCAGCCTGGACACTCTCAAGGCAGTAAGCTGGGTAATCATAGGGCTCACCTCATAGATTTTCCATCTCTCATTGTTCACTGTCCTTCACTGCTAGATAGCCAATATCTTCAAGATTGTTCTTTCAGATATTTTGCTCATTTTAAAAACTGTTTCAGGCAGAAAACTAAATTCGGTTCTTGTTATTCCATTTTGATAAGTGGAAGTCTCAATTTTTAATGTCAAATCTGCTCTCAAAGTTATAAAATTCAAGTAAGAACAGGACAAAAACATAACTAGTAATTAGTATAATGTTTTATCACTGTTGTTTATTTGTTCATTAATTCATTTCATTCCAAAAGTATTTATTGAATTCTGCATAGTAAAGCACTGTGCTGGCTGGCACCTGAGCATACAATGCTAGGATCAAAGCCAGACGTGCCCTTGCTCTCACAGAGCTTACAATCTAGTGGGACATACAGACATTAATCAAATAATTATAAACGAAAATGTAACAATGCAATTGTGATAACTGCTATGAAGGAAAGGAATAGAATAATGCTATAGTAATCTACAAGAGGGTGATTTTATGGTATTTGTTTCTATTGAGCCTCTATACATGAGCTAAAAAATATCACTATTTATGTTAAAAGTCACAAAGAACTTATAATATGTATACAGTGGGAAGAAAGTATCTATCAAATAAACTTCAATATACCATGTATCAAGACAATATGCTAAGTGCTTTGGAATACATGAAAATTATGACACTCTCCCTATGAAACAAAAGATCAATCCGGGCACATAAAATATAAAAAAATATAAAGGTTATATATCTACATCCTGTAAGATTTTAAATGGAAATTAACTACTTAAACCTAATTTTGTTTATCCCCATTTTTAAAAATTATTTTTTTTCCCATCAGCCGAATTACAGAAATTGGATGAGCTCCTCTGAGGTAACAATACATTGATTTTATTTTGTTTAAGTCTTACCTAGAGATCTCAGCTTGGGAATTCTTCTCCCCATCCACAGTGAAAGGAGACGCTCCAGTTAGTAGTTCATACATTAGGACACCTAAACTCCACCAGTCAACTGCCTACAAAACAGCAATTTCATTTGATAGAATATTAACTAACATGTAATTTATAAGAAAGAAAAATGAACAAAATAAAGCTGTATATTTGGCAAATATTTTGAGAAAAAGATTTTGTACATAGCTTTTTGTGCAAGGAGTATTAAATTAGCTCATACAAGACGTTTAGAGAACAAATATCCAGGTATCCTTAGTACAAAATTTAAATGCGTTCTAGTTATTTTATAAATAGTAATGGTTTTACTTTGGTTAATTAAAAATAAAAATTTTAATTTAAAATAAATTTTAAAAATCTTAAGTAAGTGAAATCTTTGGATTTATGATAGATGGGGGAAAAGTACCACTTATCATTTTTTTTACCACTTATCATTTTTAGTAATTATTCAGCTCCAATAAATATTATACAATTACTTAAAGTCAAAGAACAGAAATAAAACAAAAATAATCACCTAATCATTTCCTCTTATAGAACCTATCACATAAAGCTAATAGTCTTCATTGTAGGAAGCATGATGAGATTTTAAATAATGTAAAACAAAATGTGGTCTAAATTGGAAACCAATTTATATGTGTAGTTATCTGAACTGAGAACACAACAAATTACACATAATTTAAAGAATATTGATATACTGAAAATTATTTCTTTTATAATTATGCAAATCAAGATTTCAATAACAGTTGAATATAAGAGCTTATGCCAATGAGATATTATCTGGATGCTAAAGTTTTAAACTCTCTGCTTCCAAATTTGAAAGGTAAGGTCTCAGAAAAATGATGCAAAATGTATGAGCCTAGAGATACTTTAAGGAAAATTCATAACAATGACACAGAAAACAGGCTGAGGCAGACTGAAACCACAAGAGTGCCAGCCTGGCACAGCAATGAGCATGTTGTATACATTATATCTCATTTAACCCAAAGTCATCAAGGTGTTCCATGAACTCCCATTGACTTAGCTGTATTCTGGACCTCAGGTATGTAGCAATCCTAGGAATAATATAAGGTTTTCTTTCCTACAAATTGGTTCCATTAGGTCTTAGAAGGTAATTTAAAAATTTTAATAGTTATAAAGGCCTACCAAATTTTCCAATAGTTTCAAAGAATGCCTTGACATGAACTAAAACAGCAATTTATACAAGCAGTTTTACTGCCATCTGAGTCAGGAACCTCAGAATGTTCTGCTTTTTTATTTGAAACCAGGCTCTTAAATTGATACGGCTCTACACTAAGATGTGAAAACTTGGAGAATAGGGTTTAAACATATGGTAAGTCCTTAGCAAATATTCTCCACATTTAAGACAGTTGGACTGTATATGTGGGGTTTGAAACGGGATGAGGGAAAGGGGACAGTGAGAAGCAAAAAATAGTCAGAATCCCTATTTGGAGAAAGTTATTAATAAAGCAAAAGTATTAAAAAAAAAAGAACTGAACAGGTAATACAGGCAGAAAAAATATGTGACCTAGATTTTATAGCATAACTACTTAGAAAGCTTCTTCATGGCCTTCATTTTGCACATACAAAGGAAAGTGAGGAGGAAAAAATTAAGCTGTTTAGAGGACTTAGGAAAACAATCTTAGACTATCTTGAATGCTTAAAAAGGATTATTTTCTTTCTCCAAGGATTGTTACAATGATTATTTCTGTTGAAGAGATAATCAAGAAAGTCTCCAGTATTTCTACAAAGTTAAAAGCAGAAACTTGGAATAAGAAAGCAGGAAAGATTCCCTATTCAATGATCTCTTAGAAAGCAAATATCAACCTAAGGTGAAACAGTTAATTATATGTCCCATATATTTTCCTAACAAAAATCAATAATGCCAATAAGCACTGTCCAAAATCATCCAGCGCGACTCCAACAGGAACAGTGGACAGTTTATGCATTCACAGACATCTCTGTATTGCATGTGGCTCAGCTGTGTCCTCAAAGAGCAGCTCCCATGCAACAGAAAATGAATGATTTTTATTTTAAATAGAGTTACTGGTGCTTTGCTCAAGATATAGATTCTTATTTGAAGAATTAGTTGCTTTTGAGGTTTCTTTTTATCAAAGTTATCCTATAAAACAAAAATTATCCTCGCCAATAAAACCTAAAAAAAGGGAAATCTATTTCTATTATCTTTTTCCTCCAAAACACTAGATATCATGATGTGTTCATGTATACAAAGCAAAGGAGAGAAAAAGTAAAAATAAGACACCACCAGAATGAGACTCTGTTGAAGAGACTATACCTAAGTTATAAACGAGGATTCTTATTATATATTTTATTGAGATATACTAAAAAAAGTGTCAAAAATAGAACATACCTTGTCATGTCCCGAATCTCCTCCTCTGATGATATCTGGTGCCATGTATTCAATAGTGCCACAAAATGAATATGCTCTTTCAGCCTTAAACAAACAATCAAACAAAAAGGGATTTGATTTCAAGCTGGTATGACGAGTGACAAAAAGAGAAAGTTCATAAGACATGTCAATGATTGAGATTAATTACTATGTACAACAAAGAAACATAATGGCAGAATCTACTAGACAGACCCTCTTCTCACCAGAATAGACCATTACTTACACAGTATGAGTCCTGGATAAAGAAAGACTTCCCATGCCTGAAACCTACCACCATTCATTCACCCGTGCATCCACCATCCACTTAGGAATCCAATCATTCACTCTTCTTCTTTTCTTTATGTGCACAGATTTTAATTATTGGTTTCTTTAACCATTCTTTTCTATAAGACTGTAAACAGTCCAAGTAAGACAACATGAACTGTCTAATACTTTACTATGGATGACTTTATTTCCACACTAAAGGCCTGGCACATGAAATTGTGTGTGGGTACGGTCCCTAGGCCTAGCCTGCGATCAGGGCCATCTTCCCCAGCTGCCGGCGCCCCCCGCATCCCCTGTGACCCACCCCCAGGTCCCCGTGCACCATCAGGAGATCGGAGCCTGCCCGCTAGGGGGAGGGACTGAGAGGTCGGCTATTCTGCCTGCTCGCCAGTCCCGCCCTCCGCTGCCATCCACCCAGGTTCCCCATTTCCCATCTGGTGATAGGAGCCTGGTGGCCGGGGGAGGGACTGAGAGGTCTGCTGTTCCTGCCCGCTTGTCGGCCCCATCCTCACTGCAGGTTGCCTTCGGTGTGTGGGGCGACCGGCGGGGTGGGGGCCTTGGCCTGGTGCCGCCGCATCCCCCACCACCCACCCCGGGTCCACCATTTGCCATCGGCAATCAGAGCCTGCTGGGCCAGGGAAAAGGACCAAAAGGTGGTCAGGTCAGTGCACCTCATAGTGACTGGTTGAGCAGTCGTTCTGGTCATTCTGCCGTTATGGTCGCTGGGCTTTTATTATATAGGATAGGCAAGACTGGGAGAACACTAGAAAACTTGGAGGGGGAAGGAGGCCAAATGCTAATAAAGGGAATATTAAACCTAACGATAAAAAAGAAGGAAATTTTCCTACCTCACCATCTTGTCTAGTTTGGCACTGAAATCAGAATGTTTAGTGATGATGAACAAACTGTTTTTAAAGCTTTTCTCACCCTAGCCAGTTTGGCTCAGTGGATAGAACATCGGCCCTTGGACTGAAGGGTCCCAGGTTTGATTCCAGTCAAGGGCATGTACCTTCATTGCAGGCTGATCTCCATCCTGGTCAGGGCACATGCGGAAGGCAACCAATTGATGTGTCTCTCACATCGATGTTTCTCTGTCTCTCCCTTACCCTTCCACTCTCTAAAAACCAATGGAAAAATATGCTCAGGTGAGGAGTAACAAAAATATAAGTAAATAAAGGAAGATTTTTCTCTTAAAGAAAGTTGTTTCTCCTTTGTAGAATTTTAAAAAGGACTAATTTTATATAGCAGGCTAAAAATTAATTTAAGAAACTGAAGCCATTTAAAAAATGACCAACTGTGTCATAAGACTCATCCCAACATAAAAAGATCTAAACGAATGCAGATACGTTAAACGGGGATAAAGAATTCCTCTTTAATAATACACATTTGTATGGCTATATCTGAAACTTTTAAAGGCACTTTGGCGTCATTAAAATACTTTTTAAAAATTATTTTAGAGCAATCTCTTCAATTTATACTTTACTCTTCTTTCACTAACAAAGGTTAAGAAAAAGAAGCATTCCTCTTATTTACCATTTTTTAATGGAAAGAACTCCATTCTAGCAATGCTATCGAAGTGGTAGAAGTCCCCTATTCTGTTGGCTAAAAGTTAAGCCCAGATATAATGAATGTAATAAATTTATTTAAACACTGTAACAATAAATGTATTAAAACTACTTAATACTTAATTAAAATACATATATATATATAAGCAAAAATAAAATATGTTCTATAATTCATTTATTTCTTTTTAGGTGCTATGTAAACTGAAAGATTACTATTCACCTAGAAGCTAAAAGAAATAATTCCATTATGCATAGATCTGAAAAAAAATTTTTTGTTTAGCTGGCAGAGTGCTACTGGATAGCTAATATAAATCATATGTCAAATGTCATTATCTCTCTGCTTCATCATTTCAATACCAAATGTTAATTTTGTATCAAACTATTGGAAAGAATAAAGCCAAATAAAACATATTTCATATAAACTTGTATATAAAAAGTAATGAATAATTTTTAACATTTTGTTAGACATGCTTACACAGGAAAAAATGTATTAAAAAGCAGTCATCTGTTCACTGAATTATTTAAAAAATTAGAAAATTACTTTTTAAAAAAACAAACTTCATAAAACTAAAGCATGGTTTTAGTTAATATACTATTTACTATGCAATAACCCTTTTTTGATATTAGGCAAACATTACTATGTAGATGACATAGAAAAACATTAATATTACTAAGCCATAGTATTTATCATTTTATCTCATCTTAAAAGACACCTTTAAGACATTATATGCTAAGCCCTGGCCGGTGTGGCTCAGTTGGTTGGCGTGTCTCCCATGCATTGAAAAGTTGCATATTGGAAAAAAAAAAAAAAAAAAAAAAAGAAAAGTTGCATATTGGATTCCCCATCAGGGCACATACCCAGGTTGTGGGTTTCATCCCAGCTCGGGGTGTATGCAGGAGGCAACTGATTGATGTTTCTCTCTTTCTCTCTCACCCTCTTTCCCTCTCTCTAAAGAAAAAAACAATCAGTAAAACATATCGTTAGGTGAAGATTTTCACACACAAAACATTATATGCTACATCAAGTTTAGTTATACAGAAAAAAAAATTCTCTAAACTGGTTTGTGAGTAAAAAGATAATGGGTTTTGATTTATTGACTTTCTAGATTTTTATTTAGAAAGTACTCTTTTTAGCAAATACATATACATTTTCAGTTATAGGAAACACCATTTTGAAACTGTATTTCCTTCTAAGTATGAGACAATGATTACATTTTACAAACTGAAAGTTATGAAAATCTGTATTCTCTTCTTTAAAACACTAGATATTCACAAGATTAGTGTACAAAGGGTCTGAAACATACAGATTTTACTGATTAGTGCCAGAAAGACTTCCCGGGTCTTACTTTTCTGACAATGAGAACTATGCAGCTCAGTTCTTTATTGTCTTGAAAGAGAGTGAGCTGAGAACCACACTAAATGCTAGAAGATATTTCCTCCACCTTCTAGCTCTCTCTGAATTCACTTTAGCTTTTTGTGTTTGTTTTTTTAATCATCACCCAAGGATATGTTCATTGATTTGAGAGAGAGAGAGAGGAAAGGAGAGGGAGGGGGAGAAACAGGGAGAGAAAGACATCGATATGAGAGAGAAACATCAATCAGTTGTCTCTTGTTCTCGCCTCAACTGGGGATTGAACCCACAACCTAGGTATGTGCCCTGACCGGAATCGAACCTACAACCTTTGGGATGATGCTCCAATAAACTGAGCCACCCAGTCAGGGCTAGCTTTTCTGTTTTGTTTTGTTTTTTGTTTTTTTTATTTTTGTATGTGTGTCTACATTAATAAATAATACATAATTACAGTGGAGCCTTGACTTACGAGTTTAATTCGTTCAGTGACGGAGCTCGTAACTCAAATTACTCGTATGTCAAATCAAAAAGTGAACGAGTGAGACACGTGATGCTGGGCTGATATTGTGGCGTTCACTGTGACGTTCGCTGCGCCAACTAGCGGTGGGGTATCTGAAGCTGGCTCGTAACCCGAATTTTAGCTCGCAACTCAAAGCAAAAAATCGGCCGAGAGACGGCTCGAATCTCGAAAAACTCATTAGTCGGGACACTTGTAAGTCAAGGCCCCACTGTATTTATTTGATGGAAATTCTAGGAGACAGAAAAATTAAAGTTTCAGTGTTGGAAAGTTCCAATAATGGAGGAATAGTAAATAAAGGCAAAGCACTTCTTAAGTATCTCAGTGTGTTTTTTTAAAAACACTGCCATTTTAGCCCCTTGCAATTCTGTATCTGCTTCCTCGTCCTCTGCCTCAATGGAAGTGTTACTCCCTCTGGGTTCTGACTTTCAGAATAATTCCAGTCATTCTATAAGACACCAAATTAAAGAGGTGTGACAGGCGATGGTTTCTAGTGGGAGGCAGGAAAGAATACAGGGGCATATGTTAAAGCTACCACAAAGTTAAATATTGTGAATGAGAACTGCCTTAACGTGTGTGTGTGTGCACCATCCTGGCAGATAATACGGAATAGTTATACTTAAGTGACCAGCTGACCAAAGAGGCTTCCCTCTTCCTTAGACAGAAGAATCAGATAACACTGGATAAAAAACTGCTTTCCTTCTAATGAAGAATCCAAATAGGAACTCAATTGCCAAACTCTCAAGTATTTCTCAGTAAACACTAGATTAAACGATTCCTAGTTTCTATTTGCTAATGTTTTATCCTGCTCTTACCTGCTCATTATTGGTAAACATGTGAGTTAAATGTAGAAGTTTTTCCACATCCTGTGTTTTTTCCACCCTAAATTTGAAAATTCTCACAACTATCTGGAAATGTTTGATTTTAAGTGACTATCTCATTGCTAATCATCCATGACTTTGTTCACAATACAGTAAGGGTAACCCTCAGTGTCAGCCATGAAGAGGGAGCCGAAAACCAGCAATGTAGGCATCCAACCTATGCTACGCGGCACAAAGGGAGAAAAGGTAATTCGTTACAGGCCTCAGCAATCCAGAAGCTTGACTTTGGATACTCTTATGAGAACAAAAGATGAGGCCCTCAGCCGAAATGGGGTGGACTAGAATTAACACCCTTGTGTAAACCTTGGAACCTAAGAAAGCTGAACCCTTAGTAAGTGTGAAGTCTAGAAAAATGAAATTCACTACCAGCATAGGTTTGTTTCAATTTGGGCCCTAGCTTAAAAAACAAACACTCCTCTTGTGAAATCAAAGTGTTAGGCTTGTATATTTTGTAGATATGGGACATG